TACGACAATATGAGCCTCCTCAACTCTTAGTTCTTCTGATTTTAATCCCCTTGGTTCCTTCGTCAGATGTGTCGTCAAGGTGGAGTAACCCCTCAGTATCTGAGGTCTTTAACGAATAACTGTGATGGCCAACATGAAAGAGAACCACCTAAAATGCAACAACTAAAATGGACGGCATATGTAACTCGAAGAGAAAATAATGACATAATCAAGATGTTAACATTCCATACCAGTGTACCCCAGCGAGCGAAATAAAGGTTTCAGTTCGACATTCCAACCACCTGAAGAAGGCCGAAACGTTGTGATAAATATGGCAACAAAGAAGTGGGTGATAGTCCGAATAATATAAATAGTGTATATAATACCTCATCTCAGAAATATAGACAGACTTCTTTGTCGTATTTTGTTTTCGGTTTTCTTTGGTGAGCTGATGGGAGTTTGGACAGGGGATGGATTAGGGGAGTTGGTAGAAGTAGGTATTTTCTTTCACGTTGATTTGGGGATGGGGGACTTCTTTAAGTTGGTCATTTTAGGAGTGGGGGATTTAACCACTGGAGGAGGAACTCTGATATGTTGTTTTTTGGATGAGGAAGACGGTTCCTAGCAAGAAGGGTCAATACTTTAAAAGAGACGCTTCTCCTTTAGATCCCCTTTTAGCTTCTGTAATTTCTCAGCTTTCTCAAAAGATGGTTCATATTTAATTTTCTGTTCTATCAGCTGATCGGCGTAGCTGGTCGAGAAATCGCCCTTAGAACTGGTAGAGGGAGTGGGTCTGTCTATGTCATTACACGTAGGGGCTTCTGTGGAACGAGGTCCTGCTGCCCAGAGCTTCCCTCTAGCCCTGCCAACAACCTGCCATCTATAGGTATCTGTCCGAATCGGCACAGCTAGAGGGCCAAGTGATCCCCTGACGATCTGAGGAGGGACCTTTTATACCGATACTTTGGTCCGTCGCCTGCCCTGATGTTCAGTTCTCAGAATGAGATCTTTAGTTATTAAATCTCTATATTTGCGGCTTCACAGTCGGCAGGCGTAGGTAGCAGTATATCCTACATGAAAAACACTTTTCTTTTAATGACTCACTCTGATTTAACCCCAGGAACGTCAACGATTTTATGGAGTGACAAATTTTGCGCAAACGGTTGTCCACAGCAAAAACTGACACAATTCTTTTTCAACTTTCTGTAGTTCCACCGAATTTGTCAAGAGCCCATCTTCTGTAACAAGATATGCGTAGCTCTTGGCTTTTTCCATGAACTCCGTTATGTTGATTTTACATTTTGGTGGAGACTTCAAACAAGAGGGCGTTTCCCCAACCGCTACATTTTCGACTTTGTTCTTGCTCTTGTCTTTCTCATTAATGTTTTCTTCTGAAGTTTGGCCTTTCTCGGCCACTATACCTTCGTCTGTTGACTGTTTTCTTTGGTCAGATGTTTTTATGATTTTCTCTTGATTTCGGCTATTACCGGCCACTATACTTTCGTCTGTTTTCTCTGATTAGATGTTTTTATGATCTCCTCCGGATTTTGGCTATTACCGGCCACCATACTTTCTTTTAACTCTTGATTTTTCAATGAGCCAGCATCTTTTCCTTTATTCTTATCAAGAGGGTATTTTTTCTTTTTTCGTTCAAAAAGATTTTTTGGGCGACTTAATAGTCAGCCATATTGATTTTGTTGTTTTTTTTAATTAATCCATTAAACTTAAAATATAGTATTTTTTTGAAAACAAAAAGAAATTCTTTTTTTTCAAAGCAAAACATTTTTTAAATTTTTTCTTGTAAACAAAAGAAAAATTAAAGATATAAATTAAACAAAATTATAAAAGAGAAGAAGAGAAATACAGAAAAAAGTTTCAGACACAAAAATCAAAACAGAAAATTCCTTCCACAAATTGAAGAAGGAAATAACAGATTTAACAGGATATAATGAAAAATGACAAAAACTTGGCTCAAACGTGCAAAAAATGATAAAACAGCAAACAAAAAAATTACACAATGTAAGACTTACAAAAAAACAAAAACCGTTATATATAAACGTATAAAAATGGTCTTTTTTTAAAAATTACAACAGCAATAGGGAAACAAAATATTACAAAGAACGAAACGCGTAAATATAACAATTCTTGCGACTTAAACACAAAATGTGCGACATTATACGAAAATAAAAAAAGTCTTGCTACGAAATAAAAAAATTAGAAATAAAACAAATAGAAACGGAGATACAGACAAGAAAATAAAACACAGAAGTTATGCGAACTATTTACTCAAGACGATTAAACAGATAAACGAAGTAACACGTAAAAATATACAAAGATAATGAAAATTTATAAAAAGGATAAACAGAAATTAGTGTCGTGGAGGGGAGTACAAAAGAAACAGAAAAAATAAGTTCAATATAACCCAAAAAGATAAAGTAAATCAAGAGATCTAATAAAAAAAAAAGGGTAGAAAAGAAAGATAAAAAAAAAGAATTGGGGGAGAGTGAGAAAAAAAAGAAGTGAAAAGGAAAATTCAAGAATTAAGTCAGAAATAATCAGAAAAAGAACGTAAGAAAATTAAATTTTTAAAAATTTAGTGTAAAGTTCAGTGTTGAAAACAAAAAAATCCAAGATTCGAACAGCAAAAATCAAGTCAGGCGCTAAGCAACAGTCAAGGTGGTTTGTGAAAAGACAATTCCCACAACAAAGGTGAGTAACACTGGCTGATAGGTCAATGAATGCCAAATGTTTTCTTATGGAAAATATTAGCATTACCATTACCTGAACAGGGTAGGCCAGGGTTCTCAACCGGGGTGCGCATGGGCCCTAGGGGTCCATGTAATATTTCTGGGGATCCATAGGCAAAATATAACAAATAGGCGTCCACAGTGATATTTTCGTGGTCCATGAAGGAAGCCAATGATATTGCTACAATGTACGCTTTGCTCTGGGATAACGCACAGCTCTATGTTATTGCTTTTCCAACATCTTGTTGAATCGGGATTTAGTCGTGTTTCTTAACTGTTATCAAAAGTTTGCAATAGACTTGACATTGTGAAAAGAGGTGATCTTCGACTATCATTAACATCGATGGAAGCAGATATAAAGAAACTCGCTAAGCAGCATCAACCACAGGGATCTCATTGATTAAATATGCCTTTCTTTTTTTTTCTAATAACACATTTAACTTATATTGGTTTATTAAAATTTTTAACCAGCGTGCATAAATAAATACAGCAGTTAATTCAATTGCCTGAAGATCTAACCCTAACTCTAACCCTAAACCCTAACCCTAACCCTAACCCTAACCCTAACCCTAACCCTGAAGATCTCTGCTCCCCATGGGCATGACCATAGAAGAAACATTGTAATACTGTAATACAAGATATTGGTCAATAAAAATTATTATCACTATTATTATTATTATTATCATTATTATTATTGTAGAATAATTTATTTGCATTAAATTAGTTTTCATTTCAAAATAAAGCTTAATTATATAATATTTATTTGATTATTAAAACCTAAAAATTTTTAAATAGTGAAAAATAGAATATTGTTGTCTTATGTCAAATAGATATTAAGGGGTCCACCAAGAAAAAAAAAGAAGGGAAAAGTGGTTCATGGGTAAAAAAAAATAGGGGTTTACCGGAATAGTCGCTTTTGATGTCGTATCGAGAAATTTTTTGAGGCTGAGGTAGCCTTTATTGAATAACCCTTTTTTGTTGTTTTATTATTCTAAGTTGACTATATTTACCAATTCATTTTTTAAGTATGCTATTTATTTATGCAGAATATCTGGCACTGGTATTTAATGTTTCAAAAGAAAACTAGTATGTTTTCAAATACTGTTTTTAAAAAATCTTTGTTCTTTTAAAATAATAATTTTTTTTTAAGTATACAATTTATTCCTATTGAATATCTTTGCTTTACTTAATTTTATAATTTGATCTTAATTACACAGATTACCCTATATACAAATCACGTGACAGAATTATGTGCTTTGCTTTCATTCGACCACATTTATAAATGACGTGTCTTTTGGTTATATCATTATGACCACCTATAGTCAAACCATATCACGGAATATGTTGCATTCAAGAAGAACAAATGAAATCAAAAAGAGAAATGGCTATGCAAATTTTCAAATTTGCTTTAACTCCTCAGAAACATATTAATAATTCCCTGTACATATGTTATCCGTCGGTGGGCGTATTTTTAAAAGATCGCTTTCCGAAAGCCCCAACAGAAATTTAGGAAGAATATAGTATTGATGCGAGACTGAATTATTTGAAAAGTGTACTTATCATCCTGTTTTTTAAATTTAATATTTTAATAGTTTTAAGCTTCATTCAGCCTAGATTCTGAATGAAACCTTCAGACCTTCAGTCTGCTGCTCTAAGCAGTGACTCATTCCAACAAGCTTGAATATGTTATCTAAATTATTATGCATACGGAGTAGAACAAGACTCGTCTTAAGAGAAAAAAATACCAGAACTCCACCCAAGGGTTATTTTATTCAGCCGACTGGTTCACATTTAGTACAGGTCCACCCGAAAGGGGTACATGACTTATACTGGTGTCCCCGCTTGACGGGATATCTCAGAATAGCGGGGCTAGGTGCTTGTCCCTTTATTCCCTTTTGTATCGAAACCGATTCAGCAAATATTTCTTTTTAATTATTTTTATTGAAGCAGGCAAGCCGAAATGTCGACGGGTGCAAAGGACTGAGATCATGTCCTCGTAAGAGGTAAGTTAAATGGACTGTTAACAGTTTTTCTTTTCATTTTTTTTATTTTTAGTAAAGTTTACTTAATATAAGACTCAAGAGCCATTAGTAGCAAAGGGTTACTCAATGACGTGCCTGATATGAATGTAAGAGGAAGTAAAAGATTTTATTGATTGATTGGTTTGTTTTATACGGATTATTAAACTTTTTTGAAACCAGAATATATTTTTAGATTGTAAGAATTTTTCAAGATAATAATTCCGTTATCCATTACACCATCCACTAGTCTAAGCTTACATCACCTGGTATTCCCAAGTGGTCACCCCTTTAAATACTGACCAGGCTCGAGGTTGCTTCACGTCGGTGATCGTACGCGCGAACTGGCGTTTCAAAGTGGTATGGCCGTAAGCCAGGAGGTAAAAGGACATTAAGATTATGAGAATGAGGAGTATAGATAACGATTGACCATCGATTTAAAGGCGTTTGAGATCGTAGTGTTCGGGGAAGCATCCACGTGGGAGTTTATTCTCGTGTGGTGCTTTCTCCTACGAGAACTTCTCCACAGAAAAAGTTCTCCGGGGAGAAATCGGTCTGAGTGGAATTTCCTCCTTACAAATGGAATACGGAGGAAATGTGGGCGATTCGACTCCGTGAACGAAATATGGCGAGTCCTAGCTGTAATTATCTGAACTGGTGAAACTAAAGAATGGTGCGCTAATCTGGAATATTTGCCGTGGAAACAACGATAGAGTATTGATAGGCTTGTAACGTTACATCTGTGGGGAAATATGCTGTGGAAAATAATTCAGCGTCTACAAGGCCGCGTTAACGATTTTGAACCCTATCAAGTCTATAAGTGAGAATTAGGCATCTGTAGCAATACTTGACTTTTAGTCTAATTGGACTCTTGTAAAAATAGTGTTCGGAAGGAGGAGTCAGGTACAGTTTAGGTTGGGACAAGGAGCTGTCCATTTTTGCAGCATCTTTAGCCATGTATAGTATATGTTCCAATTGAAATCTGGGTTGAACTTGAGTCCCAACAGATGTTCAAAGCATGGCACTTCGTTGAGAGTACAACTGTTCAAAGTGACAGGGAAAAGTTCGGGTTCAATCGGTGATGAAGAAATGATACATGCTTGATTTAGGGGTATTGAAAGTTTTAAGTTACGGGTATATAATTTATCTAGGTGTGCCTGCTTGATGAGGTATCTCAAAATAGTGCGACCAAACTTTGACTTCTGTGTTTATGGAAGCAAAGTCGGCAAATATTTCGTTTTAATTATTACGACAAGAATCCCGAAAATACAATGCCTAAATGTCACTCATGAAAGAAGAGTTGTTTCATGAACGTATGAATTGTAGATTATGAGGATATGTAGGATATATAACGGCTGGCCCTACACTTCAAAACGTTAAGAATATAGTTGTCAGGGAAGCACACTCTTTAGGAGAAGATTTATAACATAGAATACGAAGGGAATGAAGGTGGTTCGCATCCTGTGCTTATAGCATGGCGGGTCTTATCTGTAAATATCTGAACTGGTGGAATCTAATCTAGTCTGAACATATGCCATGAAATTAGCAAAACAGTTTAACGATAGGCATGCGACATTTCGTTTGTGGTAAATGGTTGCAGGGTGGAAAATAACTCTTCGCTTTTGTACTCTACCATGAATGGACAGAGAGCATTAAGGACCAATACTGGAAATTTAGACCAGTGCGAAAAATTGGGGTAGTATTCTCGTCAGGGGTAAGTTAAATAGATTGTTAACAGCTCCATCGTATCAAATGTAATCGCACTGGGTTTAAACCAGACATTCTCAACATGCGCTATAACGTTCCAGTCGTGGAGGAAGTAAGAGCCAAGAGGAGTTATCGGAAAGTGTTATAAATTTAACTTTGTAGTAATAAGATTTAACCTTTTAAACTCTGACTAGAACAAGTCAAAATATTTTATATATTCAGTTCGATTTTTCCGATGTGTTTACATTTTAGACGAATTTGAAAGTTTAAATGAATTTGCAATATATGCATGGGGCAAAAACCTGTAAGTCGATGTCCGGCAGCTTTGTAAGGTCTGAACTGGTGGTCGCAATATGGCTGTTCCCGCCACTACTTAACTTCCGGTGTTGGGCATTGTTATAAGGCAATGAAAAATAAACACGTGTCACTAATTCAGTTGCATTAACTCCGATCGAATTCGCAGTGTAATTGTAACATGGCGGTTCCCGCCCGCCAAATAACTGAAAAGTGAACGTTAAATTTTAAATTAAAACTATGACATTTTTGAAAAATAGCAGAATTATTTTTTTCTCACATGTAATTGATAACATTAATATTCTTGATAAGAACTAACGATGATCGAAAGTATTCGGAAAAAAAAGCAACATAATGAACATCTGTCTACATCTCTCGGATGAGGTATTATGGTTACTTGCATTATTTACATTATTTGGACTCTTATCCTCATCTTAAGTGCTGCATTCACAACGTTTCGGCCGTTGTATGCTCCGGACCTCTTCATATGATTGGAATTTCGAACCGAACTCTTTATTTCGTCCACCGAGGTAGATTGTTCTACTTCCATGTGCCATGCCTCTTCCGGATATCTCAGTTATTTCCCTTTAACTCAACTCTAAGTTTTTTTCGTTCTCCACTGCTGGGGCCGCCAGGCATTGAACTCACAGCTCTTTGGGTCTAGTCACTGGATCTAACCAACATCTTTATCCACTGGGCCATGTGTCCTTGAATACGGCAATGAAGATGAGGATAACAGTCCGAATAATGTAAATAATGTAAGTAAACATAATGAACAGTGTTTATTTATTAATTTAGCCTGCAACCTCTGCGCCAAATGAAATACACACACACACATACACACACACACACACACATATATATATATATATATATATATATATATTTATACACACACACACATATATATATATCAATATAAATATATTTTTAATGGATACTCAGATTTGAGTAGATTCTGTATTTATTAAACATTATTTCCGTCTACTGGTTAAAAAATCTCATTAAATAGAAATATACGCCAACCAACAAGATTTGAACCTAGGCAGAGAGAAACCGTCAGTTAGATCCGACGTGTGTTAACCGACTCGGCCACGAAGCAGCCTTGCCGATCAGGCAAAATTTGAAACGTGCCTGTAAGCAAAATCCTTCTCGTACTAAATTCTCCGAAATTATCATGTCTGATCAGTTTTGCATCCAAGCGTAAACAAACTAATTTTCTAGCGTAATTAATTTTTATTTAATAATCCGACAGATTTTTGACACTTTAAACGTTATTTTAATGGATACTCATATTTGCGTAGACGCCCCATTTATTTATTAAACAGTATATTTATCTATTTTCGTCAGCCGACCAGAATATTCGAGAAATCTCATTAAAGAAAAATATACTCCGGAAAGATTCGAACCGCCTGCGTCCCTCTAGGCAGAAAGGAAACTGTCATTAGATTGGACGAGCCTTAACCGACTCGACCACAGAGCGGCCGTTTAAAACGTGTCTTTAAGCGAAATCCTTCTCGTATAAAATTCATCGAAATTATCCTATCAGCTCAGTTTCGTATCCAAACGTAAACAAATTAATTTTGTAAAGAAGTAATGGATTCTTATTTATCAATCCGACAGATTTTTAAACGTTATTTTTAAAGGCACATTCAAACTTTGCTTGTATTCTTTCCCCCATTACTCAACTTTTTCAGACGTGAGGTGGGTGACAATTGCCCACGTCGTAAAGGGACACGGCACAAAGAAGAAGAAGAAGAAGAAGAAGAAGAAGAAGGCGTGCCCCCGTAGCAATAAGTGGAGGTGTGAGAAAACGAGAAAGCATGTGCCGACAGAATGCTCAGCCGTTAGACTCATTTCAGGTTAGGGCAGAATTCCCATCGAAAGGAATATATTCATTGTGATATTTGTACCTCTTGACTCGGATAATTCATGGAAGAATCAAAGAAAGAGCAAATCGATTAAGATTTATTGAATTTTTAATTTTGTGAATCGCAAATCTAATGTGCCCTGAATACAAAAAAAACTTTGGCCAACTCCATCAGCTGGCTAAGCAATGCATTAAGCAAAATTACAAACAATACTTAAATTCATTCAGACTACTATCTTTAACCTTTCTTGTTTTGGTCACTACTTTTCAGCCGGCGTGTTCTCTGATCTTCTTCGGGTATATATCTTGCCTGTTAGTTAGTGTATCCTTTTATCAATAATCTAAGCAGGGGAATCAAATATGCATTGCTAGAATACTGCTAGAATTAAATATGCATGGCAAGAATATTGCTTGAATCAGATGTGCATTATTAGAATTTTGCTTGAATTAAATGGGCATTGCTATACGGTTGGCCAAAATGTTCGTCCAGTTTATGAAGTAAATTTTCAGCTTAATAAGCCATCGGACTTTTTGGCAAATCCATTATGATATTTTTTGTTTTAACGAATACGATGATCAAATTTCCCCCTCAAGAAGAAAAAAATGATTATCAAATGCTATCTTCACATACGGATTGTCGAAGAGCCAATCAGCCAAAGTCTAGTATTAGGAAAAAATCATCTTCTTCTATGTGCCGTGTCCCTTCAAGACGTAGACGATTGTTCTTTGTAGCTCCGAGTAAGGCTTTTCTTTTTGGTAAAAAATTTCTTCTATGCATCCTGTCCCTCAGGACGTGGGTGACAATAGTTCTTCAGAACACCCTGTCTTTTGTAGGTCTGAGTTTTAATTTTCGCTATATCTCCTAATCCCTCTTCTTCCAACCATTTTCAAAAGCTCGCTGTTTTCCTTAATCACACCTGCCTTCAACAAGCTTTGTGAGTGTCAATTTTTCTGAGCACTCTGTCCTCATTATGTGCCCTATAAATGTCAACTATCTCTTTTTGATGCTGCGAATACGTTTCCTTTTTGTTTTTATTTTCTCTAAAACTTCATCGTTGCTCACATGTTCTGGCCATGGTATTCTCAACATTCTACTCTCCAGTAGTTTTTTTTTCTTTTTTGTTTTCAATGATATTCACCATATAAAAGGCCCAAGAGTCACTTGAGGCAGAGGATTACACAAGGAAAAGGGTTTTGGAAGGAACCATAAACTCAATACTAAACAGGAAACAAGGTATAAACTTCTAATCGCATCCAAAAGACCGGAGAGGAGTGTGAACCGGACGATAGGTGAATCTATCTACTCCTATTTAGAAAAGAAAAAGTAATTCAATTTTAAATACAAGTTCAGATTTTTAGGCGCAGACGTTAGAGGTATAGAATTGAAGTAGACTTTAGAAGGAAGCGTAAACCCAATCCTAAACAGTAAACAAAGGATAAACAACTACTCCTGTTCAGAAGACTGAGAAGGAGTGTGAACCGGGCGATAGTCATATTATCT